AGAGGCAATTGTTGACTGAAAGACTAAGAAGTTGCGACGCAAGATGGTCGAATTAGTGCTTGTTCGTTAGAAACATTCGAATGGACCAAATCTCACCTGGGAAACGGAGAGTGACATGTTGAGTCGCTATCCACATTTGTTTGTTGATGTGTGATTCCGGGAACGGAATCATCCTAAGGGGGAGAGAATTGTAACGCCCACGTTTCCAGGCTAGGCATTTTCGTTGATGTAATAGTCTAGGTTAACCTTTGTAACCCGTTTTGAAATAATAAGAGCGTATTATTTGAGTATTATGTGTTTTGTGCTTAATTGCTTAATTATGTGATTTGATTAATTAAGAATAAAATAAGCGTCAAAATTTAAGTGTAAAATAAACTCAATATCTTTACATAAAGTTGTAGTGCTCGAAACAAGGATTCCGGAGATATAAGGAATGCCAAAATCCGAGTTATAACGAAGAAGTTATGACATGTCGAAGTTTCGCGACAGAACCGACAACGCTGAATGACGTAAAAAGTGAAATTTACGTTAGAGCAATATTTAGCCTTAGTGATCTAAACGAAAGTCGTAGAGTTTGTTAAACCGAGAGCGTGCATAAAAAGAACGCCAAAATCTGACTTCGTATGAGGAAGTTATGATTTTTCGAAGTTTCGACTTAGCGGTATGCAGCCCGAATACTCGATTTGAGACTGAACGGTTTTTAGCCAAAACAATCTAAATCAGAATCGAAGATCTCATTAATTGTAGTAAAACGATAAAAAGATAGGCGAAAACGGACGTCGGAAGAAGAAGTTATGAATTTATAACGGAGTTTTCCTGTCCCGGCCTACTAAAAATAACTAATAAAAATAAAGTCAAAATTAGCCGACGGAGTCTAAACGAAAGTTGTAGATCGTAGTATTACCTACGCGGGGAAATAATGAACGTCGAAAACGGAGTTCGTATGAGGAAGACATGAATTTTTGAAGTTTATTAAATATTTTCGATATTTTATTTATATATAAATTCCGATATTATCCGAAGGGGGGGAGTTAGCGATCTTATCGTCGTTACGCCCAGCGTAACTAGGATTTACACCCAGCGTAAATCGACCTTCCAGCCCCTATAAAAGGGTGTCGAGGGCAGCCGAGTAGTTTGCTCATTTCTTCTCTTTTTCTCGCGTTTTTGCATCGTTTTCGTGCAAGAATTATCCCGAAGCCCCGATATCATTCCCGAGCCCCGAAGCAAGTCCGATGGTCCCGAAGATCCCAAGAAGTAAGGTTCCTAAGCCGAAGCTCTGCCCGCGAGGAGTCCGGTTTTTGTGAAGATCTTCCAGATCTGCCGAAGAATACTACTTCTACAAGCCGTAGTGCTGTCCGATCATCTTCTGATCAAGTGAGTGTGTAGTTACTTTCTTCTAACACATAATTATGAAGTGTTTTATACGAAATACGTGTTATGTATATATTTTGTTGTTATGTGTGTGAATGTATATTCACTTTCTTCTATCTTATAGATCTGATTATTTCTCTATGAAATACGTGTTATGTGTGTGTGCCTCATCTGTTATGTGGAAAATGTATTGATTGAGCATGCTATACAAGTTTTGAAACTATGTATAAAAATGTATGTTTTATCTACTAATATGTTGGGTAGAACATGGGTAGATAGTTGGTGTGTAATAAACAGATGAGAGGTCTCGATGTTGTTTTGATCCAGTCATCTAGCGGAATTTAGATGACGACCACAGACTTTTCTAGATAGTCTAGTGGAATGCTAGCAGGCTCATAACCTGTAGGTGTTAATGAACTTGGGTGTTCATTCGCTGTATTCCATCCCCCTCATGGTTGCCTTATTTGACTTATATTGCTGAGGAACCCCCGAAGCATGTGTTGTCGTTCCGATGAAATATTCTTAGACCAGGTCCCTTGTGTTAGTTGTCTTAGGGACGTAAGGTGAGAATAACGGAAATGGGTAATCGGGTTATTGTTGGTTGGTGGAAATTAAATATAATTATTTATTGTGTGTTGAAAACCCTATATGCTCACCAGGCTCCCAAGCCTGACCCACTCAGTTTTATTTGTATTACAGGAAGTGGCGCAAGGGCATAAGATGGATGAACCATCAAGTTGTGTTGTTTACAAGTCTATATATGTATATATTTGTTGAATGACTTGTAATGTTATTGTTTATGCTTTATGGTCTGTATCGGAACATGACATCCCGAGTTTTAGTTATATAATGAAAATACATTTCTTTTATGAAATGCTTTGGTAAACATTGTTCTATCACGTTTTGTTTTTGGCAACAAATTCCGCAACTCTTTCAAATCAAAAGGATTTAGTCTGAAATTATTTTAAAAACATAAATGGAAATCGGTCTTTTCTGGCCGAGATTTTTGGGATGTCACACCAAGTTTCCTAACCTGACCCACTCAATTTATTTATATCACAGGTGTTGATATGAAATCACATTACACTGAGAGATTAAAGAGATGTAGATCACTAGTGTAAATAAATGTAAGTTTTGTTTATGCTTATGTTCCTGTATTGACGATGACATCCCAAACGTTTTTAAATGAATAAAATACGTTTCTTCGAAAATGTTTTAATAACGTATTTATCGTGTTTTTCTGGGAACGAATTCCGCAACATTTTTATTAAAAGAAGAACTCTGATTTTTATAAAGCATAAACAAAATCGGTCTTTTCTGGCCGTGAAAATGGGGATGTCACAGGAACGTTGCTGTTGTGCGAACCTCATGGACCTCACGAAACCCTGGTCGTCATTTCTATGCATGCCTTAAAATGGTAAGCAAACTCATATTAGGTTATGATATTTCAGTAATTATGCAATAACTCTTCTACTTTAATGTTTAATGTATTCTTGTAGGGATCCAAATGTGGATTTTTGGGGTGGTTCGATCCCCCTATGTGTCAAAGATCAACTGTTATCATACGAGGACCGTTGAGAACAATGAATAGGTATGAGGTTGAAGTGGGTCAGCTGAAGATGTGTTTGCTTGTCTTGTGGGTTTTGTTTCTGTTGTTTGTGCTATTTTGGAAATAGGAATTAGAGGTTAGTTTTTTTTTTTGGTAATAACCACTTAAAAATGTTGTCTTTTGGTGCTAGAAGGTTTAATTGGGGTTTATATATGTTGTAAGTGTTGTCTTTTGGATCATTGTATATGTAATGCTTTTATGACAATGGGAAGTGTAACGGTTTTATCCTTTTATGAATATGAAATTATAAAGGTTTGATCTTGACATGATATGCAAGTGTAATGGTTTTTCTCTACGCTTGAATATGCAATTGTAATGGTTTTACATGCATACATTAAGTACATTGCCATAACATCTTCATGATTTCCCAGTACAACATAAACAAATAACAAACAACATTACCAAAAGGGGACCATAACAGATAAATGCCAAAACACAATCATTACCAACAAAGGGCATTAAAGTACATTATCAAAACATTGGAGTACATTGTTCCATAAAAGGGAATCAAAGTATATTATCAAAATGGAACCAAAAAAAGGCATCAAAGTACCAACTAAAGTGCATTAACAAGTCTTCACAAACATAAACAACTTAAGTACTTAAACATCAATTCCCATCTTTAGCCTTGCAGGTTCTAGCATTGTGACCCTTTTGCTTACACTTACTACATGTCACAGTCAAAAACTTCCTGCTCAGTGATTGAGTTTCATTATCATTTTGACTTTGACTGTTTGCTTGCCTCTTACATTGTTGGATTTCAATCCTTTCCTCTGCTGTAATCCTTCTTTTCTTTTTTGGCATGCCTATAGCTTTGTTGTGTGGTGGAGGCACAAGAGTTGTTGGGCAGTCACTCTTAGGCCACATGGCTCTACCTTTGATAGGCTCCACCTTGAAGGAGTACATCTCTTTCCATGCATCAAGCCAATACACCTTATGCACATAGGTGTAGAGTTCTCCCACCTTTTCATTATTGTCTGCCATTTCATTTAGGCTTGCAAGGAATTCTAGTAAGCTCCCACTTTCTACAACTACACTCCCTTTTTTCCATGTCCACCACATGTTGATCATTCCATGGACCTTTAACCTGATACTTTTGTCCCCCATTCCATCGTGCATGATACTTACTAGCTAGTGTTGTGTTTGCTTCCAAAATCCTAGTACCAGTTGGAGTTAATGGACCTTGACACTTGTTTAACACCTTCATCACATTGCATACTCTCTTCATAAGGTACTCTATGATGAACTCCAAACAACTGATAATGGGTTTGTCTCTCCTTTTAACAAGTTTGCTATTGAACACTTCACAAAGGTTATTCAATAACATGTCTGAAATTGCCCTTCCTAATAGTTCATTAACAAAACAACAATTAGTGTATATCTATACTATAATAAAAAATAAGACAACAAATTGAGAAAATACTTGAAAAATGACTTCTAGCCCAATGATGTGGAGGGATTTTCAAGAGCCACTGATATGCTTCTATGTCATAATTCCTTAGCTCTACCATTACTGCTTCAAACTCTGGTATGGTGGTGGCTGTAGCACACCTCCAAAAATACTCCTTGTACTTTGTAGTCTTAAATCTGATCCTCATGTTCTGGTATATGTGTCTAATTCTGCGTTAGGGAACAATTATTCTATGGCTGGTAGAAGACCCTGTTTTCACCAAAACAAAATAAGTAATTAGCAATAGTCTGTAATGAACCTAGTATACAATATTAAATGTAACTATAGTACCTTCTGTCTATCACTGATAAAGGTGAAGTTGGAATTTGAATACAAGTCAAGATCTTCTGCAAGACACTGAAGAAACCGTTTCCAACTTGAAGTGTTTTCACTTTCAACAACAACATATGCCAATGGGTAGGTTCCATTGTTGGAATCAACACCAACTACACTTAGTATTTGACATGGGAAAGGTCCCTTCACGAAGGCTCCATCTAAGCCTAAAAATTCTCTCAAACCTGCCTTAAATCCTTTCTTCAAAGGACATAAACACACATATATCCTTCTAAATTACTTGGTTGGGGATGAAACCACAGGTTCAGAAACCACATCAATCTTTATAGTTGTACCTTCATTTGTCTTTTGTAGCTCTAGTACATAGTCTCTCAAAGCTGCATATTGCTTTACGTAATCCCCTGCAACATTTTTGGTGGCTAATGCTTTTGCCCTAAATGCTTTCTCTTCTGAAATTCTAACTCCATAATTTGATTGGAGTTGCTCTTGTAAGGCATGAACATGCAGTCCAGGATTAGCTTCAATCTCATCCATAATACGTTTGGAAAGAAATGTTGTTGTGCAAGATCTGATTTTTCGTGTTTGGAGGTAGATGTGTTTTTGATTATAGGTCTTAATAAACCAATAGTCCTGTTCACTTGACCTAGATGCATGAAGTTTCCATGTGCATTTAACTTTATCTGAGTTTACATCTTTACCCTTTACCTTTTTCCCAGAGGTAGGTCCACCTACCCCACTTGCATTTAAAACTACAGTTCCATCACAAACAGCTGTTAATCTACTCTTGTCGTTTTTTATGAATGAGATATTCCTCCGTGTCTCTAAAGCATGCAGGTCAATTTTATCTTTCAATTCTTTCTTGGCTTTATATTTCTGCCCAATATGAAAAGCTACCTTGTGCACCTCACCAGCTAAACATAAGGTTTGTTTCCCCAGCTCTTTGATCATTTCTCTTCTTTTCCTGTTGTCCCCTGAGTCATCACTTAGTGAATCCCACTCGTCATTATCAATTACCTCCAAATCCTCTTGTTCATGACTATCTTCATTTCTTTGACCACCCAAACTTTGACATCCATTGAACTCTGCTTCTGTATCAATATTTAGATTGAAATCCTCCATGTCAACCTCAACATCTTCAATTATGTTGTCCTCATCAATCATAAAGTCACTATCTTCATCTTCACTGTTTTGATTCTCAAGCTCAATGTCATCAGGCTTCTCTTGTCTCCACTCATCATTGAAAGGAATATTATCTTGGCCTTCAAACCCATTAAATGGGATGCTATCTTGGTCTTCAAACCCTTCGAAAGGTTGAAAGTTTGTCATTAATTCATCATCTATGTTGATGTTAGTTGAAAATTCATTGACTCCTTGAGGATCATTATCCATGACAACTCTATACCCCTCATCTGCAAATCCTTCTACACCCTCACCATTGGATTTATTCATGTCAAGTTCTTTATTCATATCAATCTGTTTGTTTAACTCTTTTTCTGCATCAACTACAACAAATTCATCTGCAAATCCTTCTACACCCTTACCTTTATCAACTTCACCATTTGCCATTGTTTTTTCACCACCTTCCCAATCCAAGTTAAGATTTCTACTACAAGACGATGCCCCTTTACTATGTTTCCAACCTTTAGACCTACTAAATTCAGGTGTTGCTGATTTGTATAAGGTTAATGCTAACCCTAAATCACCCTCACCAACATCAATTTGGATTGGAGTTACCACTTCATGAGCAACTACAGGTGATGATGGTCTAAGAGGACCCTGATTATCCATGTCTTTTATTATAACCCTTCTTGGACCAGTTGGGGACATAAAATATGTAAGCAAGTTCGTTTGACCATGCTCTGTGTACACTTTAATCATTTTGTTATTATGGGTAACATACTGTGAGAGATTACGCACATCATCATCGTTACCTAATGCTTAGAATCCAAAGTCAAATCCTTCATTAGGCAAACGGAAATGGTAATACATGATTTCAGTACCATCATACCCTAATTCTCTCATCATCAAGTCTAGTTCATGAACAGAAAATTCATCAATGTCGACAACATCAAAGTACCTTACTTGGCCATTAATATACCTGATATTTGGAAACTTTGTGAAACTCCCTCCGTGATGAAGTTCAATAGAGAATATGTTGGGGTAACCATCTTCAAAACAGAAAGAGATGATTGTTAGAGTTTTTCAAAGTTTGAAGCTTGATCATAAAATACAGAGTTTTCTCAAAGTTTGAATCTTACCATAAACTTCTTGAACGTTGACAATCTCTCCAACATTTCTAAGTCCCCACATTTTCAAAAGCATGAACACAAGCCAATTTGCAAACGATCGTTAAGGTTTTTGCGTTTGAATCCAAAGAGGTATGAGTAGAAGACGAAGGAGTGAGTACAGTCTGCAATCTTATTAATTGAAGTGGTGGCAACGGAGGCTAGGACCTAAAATGACCAAAATGCCCTCACATGGAGGGCACGTGATGGCACTAGTGGCTCCAAACAAACAGACAATGACGGAATGGACTAAAAACCCATGAAAACCTTGATTTTGGACCTTTGGTACAAGCTAGAAACTTTTTGGACCCCATCCAAAGGTTTTGATAAACCACAAGGATCGAATTTGCAGTTTTGTCTCTATTTAATTATGTATAGTCCATATATTTATTGTACATCACATATATTGATATAGGGCCCATACATGTATTATTGTATTTATTGTATTGCAAAGGCCGAAAGCATTTGGATGTGAAAAATATGACTCAACATGGTATCAGGGTTTTTCAGCTAACCCTAATATCATCGATCCCTCCTGACGTCGATCGTAACTTCACCCTCTACCTTGCTCCTTGTTCTGCTTCTTGCTGTTTTTTGTTCTATCTCATCATGCCCGACACAGATACTTCTACTCCTCCAAGCGGCCCTTCTGAAAAGATTTACGGTATCACCAACATAAAATCGTATGTTCCTCTTCTCCTTGATCTCGATCGTCTGAACTACGATTTATGGAAATAACTCTTCAAAATCCATTGTGTTGGATACTCAGTTTTGATCATCTTGACGGTTTCTCCACTTCCAAATCGCCTAATGACCCTTTATGGAAGACTGTTGACAATATTGTCAAACAATGGTTTTATGGCACTTTATCTTAGTCGGTTCTGCAAGCTATTCTTATTCGTGATGCTACAGCAGTCGAAGTATGAAAAGCTATTGAGGATTTTTTTCTTGAAAATAAAGAAAATAAAGCCTTGGAATTAGATGATGAACTTCGAAACCTAGCCATTGGGGACTCCAATGTTATGGAATACTATACACGTATTAATTCCATAGCTGATCTTCTTCGCAACATTGGTGCCCCGGTAACGGAACGAAATCTTGTGATCAATACCCTAAATGGGTTGTCTCCAAAGTTTGCTCACATTGTCACGACCATACGCCATCAAAAACCTTTTCTAACATGGTTGGAGATGCGATCCATGCTCACTTTGGAAGAACGTGCCATGATCAAAGATCAAAACAGGATTATACCAACTCCGCACCTTGACACTGATGATTCTTAACACCGAACATCAGCCTCCACCCTCCAATAATTCCACTCATTACTCCTCTCCTGGTGGCAGGGGTGGCGGTCACAGTTCTCGTGGATGTGATGGTCGCACCGGCGGCCGGAAAAACGACAGTCGGGGTGGCCGATTCAATCGGAACAGTGGTGTTTTTCATCCTTCTAGTGCTTAGCGAGGTGGATTCTTCGCATGGCCCATGTCATCTCCACCTCAAGATGGCCTCCTGCCACAGCCCATTATGGCCCCTTGGTCTTTTTTGCCAGCTACCACATCTCGACAGCCCACTACTGTGTGGCCCACTGTAGCACCAGCCTAACAAGTGCTACTTGCTACCGGGCAACCCAATGATGGACAACCCGCTTCTCTCCCACCCGGATGGCAGTATTTTCAGTACCCGCAACCAACGGATCAGCACACATCATTACCTCAAGCATTCAGCACTATGTCTCTTCAAAACCCGGGCAACGCTGACTGGTACATGGACACAGGTGCTACGACTCATCTAAACAACAACACATGTATTCTCAAATCTATTAATCATAAGTGTACTAATTCTTCGGTGTTTGTTGGTGACGGGTCTCAAATTCCTATCGTCAAAACGAGTGCCACCACCCTTGGTTTAAATCGCTTTTCGTACTCTAGTCTTAAATAATGTCCTTATCACTCCCCAAATAATTAAAAGTATTGTTTCCGTTCATAAATTTACTTGTGATAATAAATGTTCTATTGAATTTGACGAGTTTGGTTTTTCTGTGAAGGACTTTTTGACCAAACAAGTTCTCATCCGATGTGATAGCACCAGGTATCTCTATCCGGTTACAAGTCCAACTCCTCAAGCTCTTCTTAGTGTTACCCCATCTACTTGGCACCAACGTCTCGGTCATCCTAGTCATCAAACTTTCAAGTTTTTAGTTGCAAATAAGTCCATTTCTTGTAGTAAAGAGGATTCTCAATTATTATGTCATGCTTGTCAACTTGGCAAACATACTCGTCTTTCTTTTGATATGCCTCAAGGTCATGCTTATTTTCCGTTTCAAGTAATACATTATGATGTTTGGACATCTCCTTTACAAAGCAATGGTGGTATTCGCTATTATGTTATATTCTTTGATTATTTTTCACATTTTTTGTGGGTTTATCCATTACGTAGAAAGTCTGACATGTTCTCTAAATTTCTTCATTTTCACACTTATGTAAAAAATTAGTTTCACACCACAATTCAAACTTTTCAATGTGATAATGGAATGGAATTTGATAACAATCGGTTTCATCAATTGTGTTCCACTCATGGCATTCATATACGTTTCTCATGTCCATACACATCTCAACAAAATGGCAAATCTGAATGAATGCTTCACACCATAAATAATTCCATTCACACTCTTTTATTTCAAGCTCATCTTCACCCTACATATTGGGTGGAAGCTCTTCACAAATTGTTCCATAAACATCCCACATACTCCCATCTCCGTGTTTTTTGGGTGCCTTTACTACCCTCATCTCAACAATACCCACAAACTTTAACCTCGTTCGGTTCCTTGCATTATTCTTGGATACCTTCCAATCATAAGGGTTTCCGGTGCCTTAATCTTTATACCAAAAAAATTATCATCTCTCGTCATGTCACATTCGATGAATTTGTTTCCCATTTGGTTTTTTGACTCCGGACCGCTCCCCGAACTATGATTTTCTCAATCATAATGATTCTCGCAATTTTTTCAATGATCCTCTTCATCCGGCTCAACCTCTCGATTCCATTCCTACTCCGACAGCTACCGGTGTTGCACCCCCCATCGGTGCTGCCTCCTCCACTGACGCGGCTGCAGTTGACATTGATCTCAATCCTCTTCCCGAGGCTGCCGCCACCAGTTCCGTATCTCATTCTTCACGGGCGGCTCCACCTCAAGCTTCCGCCTATCTCACCCATGACCACTCGTGCTAGGCATGACATCTTTAAACCAATTGAAAAACTAAATCTCCATATTGACTCCACATCTTCTCCCATTCCTCGCACATATTCTCACGCCTTTCGAGACTCATATTGGTTAAACACCATGAAAGAAGAATATGATGCACTTATGTCTTATGGAACTTGGGAATTAGTACCTCGTCCTCATAATGATAATGTGGTTAATTGTGTTTGGTTGTTTAAAAAGAAGCACAATTCAAACAGATCGCTCTCTCGCTACAAGGCTCGACTTGTAGCAAATGGTCGTAGTCAATGACCCGGTATTGACTGTGATGAGACTTTTAGTTCGGTTGTAAAACCAGCCACCATTCGAACTGTTCTTAGCTTGGCTCTATCTCATCATTGGGCTTTTCATCAATTAGATGTGAAGAATGCTTTCTTCACGGTCATTTGTAGGAGACGGTCTATATGCATCAGCCTCCAGGGTTCTGCAATCCTTAGGCTCCTGATCACGTTTGTTTGCTTAAGCGATCATCATACGATCTCAAACAGGCACCCCGGGCTTGGTATCATAGATTTGCCCAGTTCATCACTGGAATTGGCTTCACGAATAGCAAATCTGATACATCTCTATTCATTTTTAGACAGGGCGATCAACTTGCTTACTTACTACTTTATGTTGATGACAACATCTTCCACAAGTCTTCTTCAGCAAATCATCTCTACTCTACGTTCAGAGTTTTCCATGACTGATTTGGGTTCTCTGAACTAGTGTTTAGGTATTGCTGTCACCAGAGACCATCACAGCATGTTTTTATGTCAACAAAAGTATGCCACATAGATTCTTCAACGTGCCAACATGTTAAACTGCAAACCAGATCGTACACCGGCTGATACATCATCCAAGTTTGATGGTACTTGTTCGCCTATTACTGACCCGACTCTCTATCGCAGCCTTGCAGGTGCTCTCCAATATCTCACATTCACTCACCCTCACATCAGTTATGCCGTACAACAGGTTTGTCTTTATATGCATGACCCTCGAGAGCCTCACTTCACGGCTCTCAAGCGCATCCTTTGATACAACTGTGGTACTCTGGACAATGGTCTTCAGTTGTATGTCTCTCCATCACATGGTATGATCGCCTACTCGGATGCTGACTGGGCAGGGTATCCGTCCACCAGACGCTCTACATCCGGCTATTGTGTTTTCCTTGGTCGGGATCTCTATCCTGGTCATCCAAGCGCCAAGGTACCACTTTTAGATCCAGAATTGAAGCCGAGTATCGTGGTGTTGCCAATGTCGTTGCTGAATTTTGTTGGCTACGCAACCTCTGACGTGAGCTTTTATATCTTCCGTTGCCTATTTGGTGTATTGCGACAAAGTCAGGGCTATCTATCTATCTATCAAATAATCATGTTCAACACCAAAGCACCAAACATATCGTGATTGTTTTTCATTTTGTGCGTGACAAAGTCGCTTTGGGTTAGATACATGTGTTACATGTTCCGTCTTCTTATCGGTATACTGATATCTTCACCAAAGGTCTACCCTCGACTATTTTTCTTGACTTCAGAGATAGTCTGAATGTCCATTCGAGATCTCCCGTTCAGACTGCCCGGGGGGGGGGGGGGGGGGGGTTAGCGTATATTTATTTTATTATGTACACGGAAGATAATAATTGTAATCTTTTGTATCTTGCTTGTAGTTGTGATACTCTCATGGCAGATGATACTTTTCAAAATACTCCTACTTTTACATACATGTGATTATCAGCATATATTTTCAAAAGTGATTCAAGCAGCATATTTGTTATATATGCTTTACAATGTTTTCTTACGCTAGTTTACAATTAAAAGCTTCGGTCCAATGATTGTTGTTTTCATTGTTCAAATAGCGATCACGGCTCTCATGTGATCTAAGTTCATGGTCCCAACTACCAAATGTACTAGTAGAGGCCTCCCACATGGACTTGTATACATAATTAATTAAAGCATAACTCTCAGAGTCATCACCACATGCTTTAAAACAAATATGATCATGTATGCCTTTCATGTAAATATTATGCTTTTAGAGAAATGCATGAATGTTATGAAACGCATGCAAAATATTTCCCATTTGACGTGTATTCCTATTTATATGGACACGTATTACTTACCTTACCTTTGTTTATTCCATGCTAATTAAGACTTCCTCCAAGTGTTGGCTCCCGAACTTTAATTAAACACATAGACATTTCCTTGAGGTCTCAATGATATCAATTAAACATAAAAAGTAGCTTTCACTCTTTATAGAATCATCTACTCTCTATATTTTGAATGAAGTACCACAACAATTTAGACGCATCTTTTTTGAATTCAGTCAACATTCACCGTGGTTAATATATACAACTTTAAACGAATCAAAAATCACTTGAATGACTAAGAAACTCTACATTAAGATGATACTAAATGATTCAAACAATCAAATTAAATAGCTCGATAAAAAATTTAGTATATGTCACAAGATACTCTCGACCTAAAAATTAGAGCTCCCAAATGAGATAGTTGGAGTAGGGTCCCTCATCTATCGGGTGTTGTTATACATACTCATGACAGTGGACCTGTAGCGTTAGAATAGTATATACAATTGTAAAGCCATACTTATCTATTAGAAATCTTTCTTTTTTGAAAAGGATAAATATTAATATTGTACACTTTTAATCCAATAATTGCATATGAGCATATCTTTAGAGCTTTACATCTAAATATTCCAATTAAAATTTCTAACCCAATCATATTTTAAATAGAATCTCAATTACAAAGCCAAAATACAATTAACTAAAACCAAAAGTCTAATACTCCATCCCCATTAATTAATCTCTGTTGTAGTTTCATGTCTTCGGCGCCAAGCACGCTTGATCTGTTGGTAAAGCATTGTTTGTGCTTTACACAACAATGGAGTTAAGACTTGTACCATGTCCATGCTTAATTGTACCGTATTAGGTTTATGCTTGATCTGTTCACTTGTCGAATTCCCAAGTGATGTACAATTTCTTTTCATAAATAATAATGACCAATTTTGTTTCGTTTTTTCAAACTAAAAAACAGTTCTGATTTTTTTTTTTTTTTTTTTTTCAAATTTAGGCTTTTATTTCATTATTTCTGAACATCCTACAACTTTTAACATGACAAACTATAAAAATAGTTTATATGGTTTACTAAATGTCACAAACTCAATCATTCATAATTTTTTCTTTATACAAATGGTCTCTGTGGTTTGCAAAAGTTGCACATATGACTCTTTTTACTAACTCCGTCCATATTCAGACGTTAGGCTATAACATGTGCGTCTCATATGGGGATATTTTGGTCTTTTTACTTTTGTCGCTCATTTGGTGGTACACTTATCATAATCTACGTAAGTACACATCCCTAACCTGTCTACATCATCCTCCAAGAAACCCCTTCGGCTACACTCTTCCCTAATCACCCTCTACACAAAGGATCTAATCCTCACTTCTTGCCATTTCAATTTCAAAATTTGGGTGTACAAGCAAAAAATGGTACTCACTATGTGGAATTTACATGGTTCTCACTCGATTTGGTTTGTATAATGAACATTGTTGATGTTTTCTTTTTAAGATGGGTCTACTAATTTGTTTACTTTTAAGATACATCATCGTGGGTTTTTTTTACCAAGTATTCAGGTAGAAGGTACATTGAAGGAAGGTTGGCTTTCTATGACTTTGTTGACACTAATCTTTTTAGTGTTCATGATCTAAACGACATGATTCGTGAGTTAGGGTATGTTGAGGATGTCACAATGTACTACCATTTTAGAATTCCTAATCTAGACTTAGATTTTTAATTGAAGGCTCTAGGAAATAATCAGGACATTATTTTTACGACTCAGTATGTCACCAAGTACAGAGAGCTTAGTATGTATGTTGAACATGGTCAAACCAGAGTCCATACATACTTCATGTCTCAACCAAAGCTGTTATTCAACAATTAGATGATGATCCTTCTCCTGAACTCATTAGGATTTGGCCTAAGAAGAAGGAAGTTGGTTCTTGTTGCAAGAAATTGGACATGAATGTCCTACCTGAACAGTCATATGTTCAGAAGCAGGTAGAAGATGGGTTGTATGATTATTCCATGTCCCTAGTTCCTTTTGAGCATTCTCAAGTAACTGAATGTTGTATGGCATACATAGAACATGAGGTTAATGATTTGTATGTCCCTATAGAAAAAGAAGTTGATGCTATGGATGATGTTAGAGTTGATTTTAGTTGCCTTGATCAAAGAGAGAATCTATATGATTTTAATTCTTTAAGTGATAATGGATATAAAAATATGGGTGAGTATGAAGAAGAGGTTGCAGAAGATGAAGAAGACGGTCAACAAGAAGAGGAAGAAGATGAAAAACAAGAGGATGGAACAAAAGAAGAAACATATGAGGATGATGGTGACTACATTGTACACCCCAAAGTACTTTTCGATGATTTGGGATGTAGATATAAGGTATTTAATAGTGTTGTATGTGAGGCAAAATGGTGTGGACAAGCACCACAAACAAAGTAGATTTAAACCAAGATGGGGATGAATTAGAGATTATTAATAATGATGATTTTGAAAGTACAGGTTTTGAAGAGGACTCTAGGAAAAGGATGTTGAGAAATTTGAAAACAAAAGTGTCTTGGTCATCTGGAGTAGTTCATGACAGATTATTTTATGTGGGTGAATCTTTTAAAACAAAGAAAGATGTGCAAGGATTAGTTATATGGTGGGTCAATCTATAGTAGGAGGACCTTACACATGGAAAAATGAGAAAATGAGAGTAAGAGTGAAGTGAAGGGGATGCTTCCAGATTCGAGTGGTGGGCCCTCTACAGTTAGTAAAGTCACATCCAAGGACAAAACAATAATTACTAATAAGGATTCATGTCCTTTTGCAATTTAGATTTATAGGTTTACTAAAGAGGAGCCTCGGTTGGTGAAAATAGTCATTGATGAGCATTTATGCTTACAAGCAAGAAAAATGAAGGCATATACATCCAGATTCTTAGCCACCATAATTATCCATAAGGTGAATTCCAACCCTAGAATCCTAATTTCAGCCCTTCACGAGGAACTTCATATGGAATTGGAATTAAGCTTGTCTAAAATGAAGGTGTTCAGAGCTAAATCCATTGCAAAGGATCAGTTATATGGTGACTTTGAAAAGCAATACAATTTTTTTAAAGATTATTGTTTGGAGTTACATACCGACAACCGAGGAACAACAGTGAAGTTAGAAGTGTGTCGTAAACCAAATCCTCAAGTTCAAACTCAAATATTCAATAGATTATATATTTGTCTTAGAGCACTTAATTTGGGGTTCAAAGTTGGACAAAGGGAATTACTAGGACTAAATGGGCGACTTTTGAAAGGAGCATTTCCAGGGAAAATGCTAATAGTTGTGGGTCTTGATTCCAACAATGGAATCTACCTAATAGCTTATGTTGTTGTAGAAGTTGAGTCACAAGATTCATGGACTTGGTTCTTGAAGTGCCTTAGTGATGATTTGGAGTTGGATGCATCATGTAACTTCACTTTTTATTTAACAGACAAAAGGTATGAAATAATTTGTTTTGTTGGTTGTGATTGCTTGATTTGTACTAACTTGAATATAATTAAATGTGCATGGATTAATACCTACCATAGAAAAAGTATATCCAAATGCAGAACATAGACGGTGTTTGAGACATATACATGAAAAAATTAAGCTACAATGGAGGGGTGAAGAGTTTAAAGATCAGTTGTAGAATTGTGCTACAAGAACAACCCTTACCCACTTTGAAAGGGTAATGGAAGATTTGAAGGATTTCAATTTGGATACATATGAATGGCTAAGAAAAATGCCTATGGTTCATTGAGCTAGGTCCTATTTCTCTGGTAAGTTATTTTAAACATTATGTCATAGCTATCTAACATTCTTTGTCATTGTTTAATTCTTAATTATATATCACAGGTAGAGCACATTCAGATTGTTAGCTAAATAATTGTGTGAAGTATTCAAATCTTAGATAGACCATGATAAGGATAAACCTATCATTACCTGTTTAGAGTATATTAGGGTGTATTTGATGAAGAGACATTACATTATCCAAAAATAAATTGATAAATGCAAAAGTACATTGACCCCCACTATCATGTGGTTCTGAAAAGTAGCAGGTAAGTAGCATGATGTTTGATAAATATGTGGTGAAATTGAATTAGAGGACATGCAGATGTAGGTATTGAGAGATAACATGGATAGTTTGTAAGCATGTAGTTGCTGCAATTTAGGAACATATTCAAAATGGTGAAAAACGCAAGACCCTGAATTTCACACTGGGTGCATCCTTCTTATAAGATAGAGACATGGAGGGAAATGTACTCTAACAAGATAGAATCAATCAATGTTAGGAGCATGTAGCCAAGATCTAGATGTCCCACTACTCTCTTAGGCCCTAAACATCACACATAAGTAAGATATTGCAATATTTTTTGGTTAAAATACTTTGTTATCCATGAAATTAATTGATTTCATTGATCTTCTTGTAGGTTGGAAGGCCTAAGAAAAAGAGGAGGAGGGCTATAGATGAGCCTACTAGCCAAACAAGGAATCTTTCTAGGAAATTTTTAACTGTCACTTGTTCTAAATGTCATAACAAAGGACATAACTGTAACGTCGTGATTTTTACTCCATTTTTTTTTAAAACTTTAACAACCTTGTTAACGGAAAATTGCAATAGAATACTTTATATTTTTATTTATTTATTTTCAAACCATACTCAATGAACCACATGTTACCACTTTCAAAAAACAAACATTCAACTGTTTAATCATTGTGGAAAAGAGGATCCAAAAATAAAAACCAAACGTGCTCAAGTGGCATCTTCATTAAAACCAACTACCCAAAAGGAACCCAACCACACTAAGCCATGCTCCTAAGCTACCTGTACCAATCAAAAGGCATTCAACAAGGAAACAAGTGTCAGCGACCGCCTCGTGAGCCGAAAAGTTGTACACAACCAAAAAGAAAACACACAATTCTCGTATGGGTCATCCATGCAAATCATGATAATAGCATAGTCAAGAAAAACAAGTAACATTATATCATAATTTATTTCAATCATATAATTCTCAACTTAACTAAACCGATTTTTACATATAATTTAATTCACCATTTATTATATGTAATTTTTTAATTTCAACCAATTAACTGCTTTAGGGTTCCTTAGTGACAGTCTACCCAACAAATTAACCCCATTCACTAATCGTGTGCTCATCTAGTTTAGTGCTCTAAGTGGCTCATGACTTCCACACGAATACACCAACCACAAGACTTCCACTTTCGTTACTCCGACTTGCAAAGTACAAGTACTTCATGGTGTTGTTCAGGATCGGTTTCAAACGGTGTCAATTCTACTGATAAACCTCCCGATTCCCACGTGATGTTTGATCCGGCCACACCATAAAGCCAACACCACTCCAGTTCCTGTGCACCGAGGTGTACACAAACCACGTGTCACACGACCATCTAGAAAGTTCATGTAGCTAACAACCGATAAGGCTTAAGCTCTTTCAATCTATTATACTTGCAAGGTTCTACTGATGTCACCATTACACCCCGCAAAACATGCATACACCAAAATAATACAAATTAAACGAGCAATTATTTTTGTATTGAAGTTCATCAAGATGTCACCATACTTTAGCATATAACTACCAATTCATGAAACATCATATCCGCATGCAATTTACAACTATCACATAACATGAATATCACCATATCAACCGATACCAAGACACAACCATACACAAGATGAAAACGACATATTTTCAACAATTTTCACAAGCATTTATAAATCTAGCATGAATCCTTATTTTGGAACAACAATCCACCTATGAGATGTAGTTTTTAGTTATGCACTAAAGTCAAGAAAAATTGTCGACTCACCTTGTGTTTGAAACGAGTTCTTTTTTACTTCAAGTCTTGGCCCTCATTGAAATTGTCAAGGTTTCACCTAATCATCACACATACCAAACGATCATTAAAATGGGGCCCAGTTTTGTAACACCCAATTTCATATTTACCTTATTGATTGGGGTTGTGGCTCAATCATTAGTTGTCATGGGGATTAGAGCTTTGGGAAAGGAAGAATTTAGCCTATCTCGAATGTAGTTGCTATGATTCAAGTGATCATGTTTTCAATTGTGTCTTCGGGAGCCAAGGGTACGACTGTAAATTGAAATCTCGGCCTTTTATGCATTTTAAGCTTTATTCGGAAGGTTTTAAGGCTCGGGTGTGATGCTAGGAGCGTAGGGCTTCTCGTGTCACACCCCCAAACCAAATTGGCGGAAACATTCGGGGTGGAGGACGTCATGTACAGTATCATAACAATGCATAATAGTAAACAAGCAACAACATCATCCATTGCATTAATAATATAATTTCATACAAGTGTGTTCTATGCAAATATAGTAATAAGACACCAAAAAGTTAAAATCAAAATAAAGACGAGTCTGGAAGTGCTCCATCTTCTCAAAACCTGTCATCGGTACCTGTCTACAGGTGACCTGAGAATATGCTATGTAAGAATTATTATGCAAATACAAAGCTAATTATGAATATGAATATACCCCACACTTGGACTTTGCTTGCCCTCAAGCAAATCTAAACTTAACCCTTTACTACTAACATCACATAGAGCAATTCGATTCCAGCTTAGCCATTATGCCAAGACCTCAATGCATGCATTTGTGTCTAAAATTTTCCTAAAGTACCCCCCCATACTTTAAATACTCACAATCTTCATAAACACTCGCCCACTTCTTCCGATCAATGCTCATTTTATGCATCCCTCCGAATCCATCCTCAGAAAACCTCCTAACCTCAAGGTATTTTTGGCTGAGAAACCCAAGCATACATAATCTAGACAATTACAATTTATGATACCACTATGGAGCTCTTTTGAATTTCTTCACTTTCTTGACAATTTGATCTTTGATTTTTTTAAATTCCCACCTTGTTTGATTTGATTTCTAGTATCTTCAAATTTTTGAATTTCTTGGAATTTTGGTTTTTGTTCTTCGTGCTTTGACTTTGATGCTCCAAAAATTCTTCAAACTTTTTCTTGTAATTCTCTCTCATTTTTTTAACAAGTGACTCACTTTTTTTTCACTCAAATCCTACATGCTTAAGCAGGGGCGCTCAACTTCAACCTTTATTGGTTAAATATAATAATTTTCCTGGATACATTTCTGGTACACGATGCTAAACATATTGCATCCTTCAAACTAAGCGAGGTTTTGTTTTTGTTCCATGATTTCACTAAAATAAGAGAAGCCACAAATGCACTATAACGTGTGTTGGATCAACTAAACATTTGAGCTCTCATCGGATCATCTCATGCAACACTACCAACTATTATTATTACTAGATTTAATTATTAAAAATTTCAATTTTCAAATTTCCTAGTAATTTACTTTTTCTACCCCTACCCCACACTTATTTTATACAATGCCCTCATTGTATGCATAAAATAAATCAAAATTAAGAAAAAGGGAGAAAAAGGAACAGACTCCCCTAGGATAGTGGCGTAAACATCTCCAAAAGTGTGGAAAACATGCATCTTGAATACGGACTCTGAGAAATAGAAACTTGGATCTTGAACTCGCGAAATAAGAAATGCACTGGAAAAACATGAAATAGAGCCTTCAATATTCTAAAAATGTGGTGGAAATCTTCCAAATAGAATGAACAACATGGGAAAGCATACGCCACATTGTATGGTAGTGAAAATGAGCCACAATAACCTCCAGAATAATGACAAGAAGAATGGTATCAACCCATTAAAGAATAATATGTCAAAGGCCTTGAACTTGTAAAAATCTCAAATTCACGACGTCAGTAATAATGGTTCACATCGTGAAGTCGCAAATACGCGGATGTTAGACACCCCTGGGAACTGATTCACAACGTGAGTAATAGTGGTTCACGTCGTGAAATCTGGGCAGACAGAAAACAAACATTGCCAAATCTTCTTCTAATATGTTCAATGCAACCCAATGTCTTAATGTATTAAGACTCTTTTAAATTCACCAATATTTGACTCTTTTACTGACTATCCACTCTCTCGACTCACCCCACACTTATTTTAAAATAAGGGTCTCGACACTCAACTATAAACACTCCCAACTAAAGACGTTTGCACTTCTATCTCGGTACCCTTTCTAGGCGGTCCAATCAATTTCTGAGAAATATCAACCAAAGAAAAATAGAAGTAACATAATATCTTCATAGTTCTTACAATCCCAAAATAACACAATAAAAACAAACCAAAGCAAAACAAAATAAAACAAACAATCAATCATCCTCCTCCTCATCGTGCACTCCACTCATACCCGCTCCGTCACCTCCACGTCTGTAACGCCCGTGTTTCTGGGCTTGCCATTTTTAGAAATGTAATAGTCTAGGTTAACCATTGTAACCCCAATTTGAAATAATAAGAACGTATTATATGAGTATTATGTGTTTTGTGCTTAAGTGCTTAATTATGTGATATGATTAATTAAGAATAAAATGAGCATCAAAATTTAAGTGTAAAATAAACTTGATATCTTTAGATAATGTTATAGTAGTTGAAATGAGGTTTCTGAATATATAAAGAATGCCGAAATCTGAGTTATAACGAAGAAGTTATGACCTGTCGAAGTTTCGCGAAAGAACCGACAATGCTGAACGACGCAAAAAGTGAAATTTACGTTAGAGCGATATTTAGCCTTAGTAATCTAAACGAAAGTCGTAGAGTTCGTTAAACCAAAAGCGTGCATAAAAAGAACGCCCAAATCGGACTTCGTATGAGGAAGTTATGATTTTTCTGAAGTTTCGACGTGACAGTATGCAGCCGGAAACAAGATTTGAGATCGAGCGGTTTTTAACCAAAAAAATCTAAACGAGAATTGAAGATCTTGTTGTTAGTAGCGAAACGATGAAAAGCTAGGTGAGAACAGACGTCGGACGAAGATGTTATGAATTTATAACGAAGTTTTTCTGTCCCGGCCTCCTAAAAATAAATAATAAAAATAAAAGTTAAATTAGCCGACGGAGTCTAAATGAAAGTTATGGAGTATAGTCTGACCTACGCGTGGATATAAAGAACGTTGAAAACGGAGCTCGTATGCGAAAGTTATACAATTTAGAAGTTTGACGAGTCAAATTACGCTGAGCGTAATTTGAGTACGCCCAACGTACTCAGGAGGATGCAACTTGTCTGACCAACACTCGAGTGCCACCGATCGACGCATGCAGTGACGTCAAAGTACGCCCAGCGTAACCAATTTACGCCCAGCATACTGAGTACGCCCAACGTAATTTGAAATTACGCCCAGCGTAATCCCAGACCCCCAGCTTATAAATAGAAACCAAGATCAGCCATTTTCTCTTGTTCAAACTCTTTCCTCTCTCTAGTTTTGCCTCGATTTGCATGCCATTTGTACCCCGAAGCCCTGGTAATATTCCCGACCCCCGAAGTAAGATCTGAAGCCCCGAGGATCCCGAAGAGCGTTATTCCCGAGCCGAAGCGTTGCCTGCGA